TGGGGAATTCTGGGAGTTGAAGTCCGGACATCTTCAAGTGGCCAAGGTTGAGAAACACTGTCCTAGAGCTGAGGAAGCTTCTTGGATGAGAGGCGAAACCTCTTCAGAGAAAAAAAACACCCCAAAGAAGTCCGGGAAAAATCACCGTTGGGACAAGCGTCACCTGGATGACCGAGAATCTTCGTAGACATTTAACCGGGGAATCTTCGTGGGAACATTCGGAGTTCTGGCTTTGCTGCATTGTAACCGCCTGTCTTTTAGCGAGAAGATTTTAGCGGAATTTCTTTGCAAAAGGACCGAGTTGGGCCCAGTCTGGCATCATCATCTTCCTTTTCACGAACACCCAATTCCTGCAACCCTTCCTCTTATCCAGTCCCCAAATCAGCTCACCTTGGCAAGCCTTGCTGTCGTCGGTGGGGTTGAATCCCATTTCGCACTCGCAGCGGTAGCCCCCGGGGGCGTTGAGGCACTGCCCGTTCTCACAGAGGTTGACGTTGTCGGCACACTCGTCCACATCTGGTGGGGGGGGGGGAAACGTGGCATGCTCAGGCCTTCCCTCTCGGCCGACAACCACACCCACAATACCCTGCCGAGACCCTTCGGGATCACCACCAAAATGCCAGTCGGCTGAAGCAATTCAATCCGGAGATTGAAATCTTCCCAGATTCCTTTGGGACTCCGAGGGGGCCTCATGGGCACCCTCACAAAATGGCTGCCATGGAGACAGGGCCATTCCCAAGCTCACAAGGCTTCCTGGTGGGTCAAACATGCACCCTGCTTCCCCCTTCGGGGTTAAAAGACCCTTGAAGTTCACCCCGTTTTCTTTTTCAGTGGAGCTGGATAGCGGAACTGCATTCTGAACATGCCTAATGCCTCGCATCGTGATGGGGAACCTCGGGCACGCATGGCACAGGGGGCGCGCACGGCCCTCTCGGCAGTCATGCGAGCCCTCGTCCCCGGCTCAGCTCCACCGCACATGTCTGCGCGCCTCCTGCCGCCCAACTGGTTTTGGGGTCCCCGCCGTGTATGCGCAGAGGCGGGGTCCATGTGGGAGGTACATATGCATGCGTAGGGGGGCAGGATATGCACAGGGGTCACATGCACATGGGGGGTGGTGCATGTGTGTGGGGGGTGGTGCATGGCCGGGTGGGGTGAGTGCAGGGGGTTTCACATGCATTTGGGGGGGTGTCTCATGTGCATTGCATTATGCGCTCTCCCTCTTTTAGCATGCAACGACATGTGCGCACACATCATGCAATGCGTGTGAGACCCTCCCTTGCACATCGCAACCCCACTCATGCGTGTGCAACCCCCTGCGCTCACCCCACCCCGCCACACACATGTGTGTGTGCCCCCATGCGCCCACACACATGTGCATGTGATCCCTGCGCATGTCCTCCCCCCACTCATGCACCTGCCTCTCCCGCATGGCGCTGCATGTGGAGGCAAAAAAGGCGGATGCGTCAGGCTGGCTGGGAGCCAGGAAAACTCTCAGAGTCTTTCAGAAGCAAACTTCTCTTCCTCACCCGAACAAGAGTAGCCGTCACCGCTGAAGCCCTCCTGGCAGGCGCAGCGGAAGGAGCCTGGCGTGTTCAGACAGTTGGCGTTGAGGTTGCAACTGTGGGCCTCGGTGGCACACTCGTCCAGGTCTGGCAAGGAGGAAAAACAGGAGGGAGCTTAAGGAGGAAGCCTCCCCTCCACAGCCCCACCGCCGGCGGGGACCCCGGCTAAAGTCTCCGGCTCTGGAATCAACTTATGAGCACCCTAAGGATCAACAGATTCATTCCTAAGAGGTCTCCTCTTTCCCTGAGGCATCGCATGACCTCACATATGATTTTAGTACCCTTTCCCCCTCCACGGTCATTAAGTGAATCACCGTGGTGGCTAAATGAGAGACAATTTGGGACCGTCCCTGCTGGCTTCTGCATAGACTTGCCAATAGAATAGGATATAGATTAGAATATAAGTTAGAATATAACAGAATAATTAGAATAGAATAGAAATTAGTATAGAACAGAACAAATAGAATAGAATAAATAAAAGGGACCTTGGAGGTCTTCTAGTCCAACCCCCTGCCCAGGCAGGGAACCCTATACCATTTCAGACAAATGGCTCTCCAACATCTTCTTAAAGACTTCCAGTGTTGGGGCATTCGCAACTTCTGGAGGCAACTTCTGTTCCCCTGATTAATTGTCCTCACTGTTAGGAAGTTTCTCCTTAGTTCTA